GAATCAGTTTCTATTTTAGATGTTTTAAAACTAAGTCATGATTATTCTTTAACCAAATTATATCCAAACTTAGAGATAGCAGTAAGAATATTTTTAACTATTCCAGCAAAGCAACTTCATGTGAAAGAAATTTTAATAAATTAAAGTTAAAAAAAAATTATTTAAGATCATCACTAAATCAAGAAAAATTATCAAATATAGGAATTCTTTCAATTGAAAATAAAATATGTATAAGAATATATGTAGATTTTGATATAACAATTGATTCGCAACTCTATTAAAGCATGAATCATTACCTAAGCTTTAGTTATATCCGTATTTCTAATCAGGCTTTATATTTATTTTTGATGTTCTGTAAATTATTTTATTGGTTAACTAAATATCTAAAGATGAACTTACGGAAGCCTTAAACATAAGGCTTGACTATTAATATGAACATTAAGCTGCAAAAAATTGACCAATTATAATCAATTATTCTTCTCACATTCGATTGTGATTAATCAATTTTTTATGATTTAAGATTTAAAACTTAGTTTATTGTAGAAAATCCATTAAAGTTAAGATTATGGCATACAAAAAAACTCAAGCAGTAAGCAAATCAAAATTTTGGATTTGCTACAGTTTACGTTATTACCTTACGGTTTTTAGTGTGATTGGCCAATTCACTTAAGTTTGTTTTGTGTGATGTAGCCTTCACAGTTTTCTGTGATGACGAAGACGGAACATTCCGTACACAAGAGCGTTACGTCATAGAGAGAAACGCCTTCAGGCACTCGTGAGATCTATCTCGGAGAGACGAGGTTCGCTTTATTTCGTATCCTCCGATTCGGAGCACAGCATCTCACGTCGTGCATCGAAACGCTCGTCCGGAGCAGCTTTGCGCGTGGCGAGGAAGCGGAATGCAGCCTGCGGTAACACCGTTGAGCGCGCAGAAGGGGCACACGATATAAAATGCAATTCCTTCCGTACTCGGAGTTTATCGTCGCGTTAAACCCGACCCGGAATTCGTCACGCTAGATTCGACCTACTGTCGTCATTCGACTCAAACGAAGAGGAACGAAGAGGAAACGATGATCGTCGCACGAGCCATCGCATTCTCACCGTCGTTGACGGCGACGTGCTGCGAATATTGCGAGAGCGCGCGCGCGCACGCAACTCTTCCCTCGGGAGGAAGTCGCCGTGTGTGCGAAAATGCGAAAAAACATCGTACTCCTGTGCGCTCTCGAGGGCGAACCTCGAGAGAGATAGCGATAGATAAAAGAGAGGAACCGCAACTCACCTTCGCAGCTAGCAGCGGCGACGACTGATTCGTCCCGTCGCGCAATCGGGACCAGCGGGCTAGCTATCAGACTTCGACCGCGGGTTAGAGTTCATAACCTCTTCTAACCTTTACCTTTTCGCCTCCCCTGCCCTGTCACCGCCCCACGCCGCCCCCACTTCCCGAGTTCCTGCGCGTACATCCCGACATCTTGCGTCGCCCAGCGCCCTCTGTGTCATCGAGCGTAAACGTGTCATCGGTGAGTTCTTCCATCTGGTTGGCATATTCCATTAACCAATCAGAAGCGATCCGCTGCTCTGATCAGCTGTGATGTTCGGTTTTTTCGCGTCGCATGCTCCAACATGCTCCAACATGCTCCTACCATAGCTCTTACTCCCTCCAACGCGTTTGATAGAGCGATTCCGGCCTTACCAGGTTATGTTCAGATTCCCACCCGAGTGCCACCCAGGTATCCCTCTATTCTTATTCTTTACCGAATGTTAAACAAGGATGACATAACACCCGGGGAGCACTCGGGTGGGAATCTGAACACGCTCCTAGAGGTTTGTTCGCGTCGCATGCTCCAAGATGCTCCAACATGCTCCAACCATATCTCCTACTCATTCTACCAAGCGCGTTGGAGTGAGTAAGAGCTATGGTAGGAGCATGTTGGAGCATGTTGGAGCATGTTGGAGCTTGCGACGCGAACAAACCTCTACTGATTACTGATTAGTTACGCGATTACGCGATTACGCCTCATGGGACTCCAGCATCAGGTGAAAGAGCTCACTAAGCGCTCAATAAGCCTGTTCTTTTTGGCTCTTTTGCACTAGTTCAACTTTCTTCTTTTTCTTTCCTTCTGAAGAGAAAAGGAAGAAAGATGAACTGGTGCAAAAATTCAGCTAAAAAGTATCAAAGGTTCTGAATAGATCTGTAGCGCTGCGTTCGGAAATATCACCCGAGTGCCCCCATGTATCGTTTTATCCTTGTGTTCATCCAATGTTAAACAAAGATAAGATAATACATGGGAATACCCAGGTGATGTTTCCGAACGCAGCCTAGGTGGATTATTTTCGCGAACACTGCGCCGCGACGAGCTACAGCGCGAATTATCAGGACAGCGCCATGTTGGATAAAATCCGTTGGCGGGACGGAACAAGAAGTTTGATTCGAAAAGCGGAAGGTTTACTCTCTCTAAATTCTTTGGTGTGGTATCTCATTCTAATGAATGAAAATTGAGTCAATGTTAAAAAAGAGTGGCTTAGGGTCAGTTTCACCAAGCCGATTAAGCTTAATCGATGATTAACTGTCAACCGCAATTGGTCAATTCTACTAAACAGCAAACGCGATTGGTCAACGGCCGATTAAGTTAACTGGCGTTGGTGAAACTGGCCCTTAATTTTCAATATTTTTAAAAGATTTAACTTGACTCATTTTAATTTGGCTCAACTTTGGTATACTACAAAAGTCCGATTTCGATGAAGTTTTATAGATCCATTATAGTATTAACTAATAGCGTTTTTCATTGGCAGAACCAGTGCGCATATTAAAGCTATTGTACACTATTCTAATCTAAATGTAAAAATGAGCTATCTCAATTGATAAAATGCATTGATAAAATACCCAATGTGTATTGCCAATGATATCTGCCAATGAAAAACGCTATAAATGTAGTCAAATACATAAATACAGATTTACAGAAATGCTTAGTTTTCAAAGTATTCAAATTTTATATAATCGGCTTAATTACAACTTTTTTAAGATTTTGATAAGAAGCAATAATTTGAATTATAAAAACTATTTTGTTGACTAGACAGTTTTGTTATATATTGCAATACACTTATACATTTACGATACTGATAATAAGTTTATATTTACATTGATTTTTAGCATTTTTTGTTATATTTTATCTTATCATTAATGTAATGTGTGTGCAACGCACTATATCGAAACTTACCAGAGTTTACAAGAATTCTCGAAAACAGTCATATCAAAGTTTTCTCCTGAATGGAAAACAGGAAATAGCATACAACACGTTAAATATGAAAAAAGTTAATTTATTGCAAACACATCGCACAATGTGGGGTACATAAATTTTCATCACGTAAGCTTTGTCACTAAACGTACTGTGACTACTGCTAGTATCACTACTGTCCTTAATTTAATCATAGTTATTCATTTTAGTTGCACTTGTCTTATACTTCGTTCCTTGTCTCTTTTTCTCTCTCCAAAGCACGGATATATACCTATTTCGTTTTAAGCGTGGAAAGCATAAGAAAGTGCAACTAAAACGACGCTAGGATATTTTTCTGAATTTTTATCTAGTAAATATTCGGTTCTGTTGTACGATATTCTGTTGTATGTTGCACGATACATTCATACATGCATACATACATAAAGTTATATTATACCAATGAGCTTATAAAGTAAAATCAACCTGCACAAAAGAGCTGCGATAACGTATTATATCAATGCGTTACAAAACTGGACCTATTATTAGAAATATATTCTTATGTTTAAAATTGTTTCTAATTATAGTATATGAAGTTCAACTACATTAGTAATAGATATTTACATAAACGTCGACTATACATTAAATAGATGTGTAGAGTAATTGTGAATTGGCATTCGTTATAAAGTAGAATTAAAAAAAAAGCTCAGAGAGAGAGAGAAAGAGAGACTATATGTTAATGTATAAATGCGTAACTATGTTTTATCCGATATTTAAAAAGTTTCAGAAACGTCTGCCCTCTTCTGATTTTCTTGCTCATGCCTTAACAAATCTATCTAAACTTATATGTTTTCGATTTCTTTATTTTTGGTGGCTTATTGCACGAGTTTCCTACAGAGAGAAGACATCTTAAGTCGGATTATCTTAAAACGTGGCCCTGAAGATTTACTGATTAAAGTAGTATAGTACTTAACTAACTTTGTGTATCGTTGACTTGAGAGATCAATTTTATATCTTGTGTAAAACTTAATGTAATTTTATGAGAATTTAACGCATATCACCGTACGTTATACATTGCGGGTTATGTACATGAACACTTTTTTTTCAATGTCCTAGCATTGTGTGGTAAAAATAATACTAACAATGCGTGTAATATTATGGCAGCCAAAATATTTTGCAGGGTTGATAAAAAAACATGTTTTAAACGTGTTTTAAACAGTTTAAAACAGTTTAAAACATGCTAAATTTATGTTTTTAATGTTTTAAATATGTTTTTTTTATAGTACTGTTTAAAGCATATTTGAAACATTAAAAGCATTTAAGAAGAAACACAGTATGTTTTATTCTTAAAAAAAAAAATCTTTACCAACCCTGATATTTTGTATCCATAAAAACATCTTGTCATCATAATATAGTTTCGGAAATGCTATATATTTTATAGCACATAAAAATGTAATGTAATAATCGAAACTATCAACGGAACCTATCAATTCTGCTGAATTATCAAACACAAATTCGTTTTGATTTCAATTACATTTGTGTAACGGTAACAAATTTTACGCTTAAAAGCTATGTAATAGTAACGGTACAGAGATTTAACATGAATTGCAAACAAACTAAGAGAGACTGGCCTATTACGCGATTTATAAAAACAAATTAATCAAATACCATATCTGAAACTTATTAAAGACGAATTTTTTTACTAAGGTGTGGACTTGAAAGAAAGAGAATATCTCCCTTAATTTCTTGATCTACCGAAAAAAAAAACGTCCACATAATATCTTTAGCTCTTTAGATATATATATATATTACCTTATTATCATTTTATATAACTTACCGCCGCTAAAATTAGTAGTAAAATTCATCATTACTAGTAGTAAACTAAGTAGACACTATACTAACTTATATAAAATGTAATTTGTCCGTATGTCAAAGGGGTAGAAAGCACCGTAATGATTTTATACACATATCCAAAAAACGAATTATATGATTGTTCTGTTAATTATTCCAGGTACGGTAAGTTGATCACAAAGATTCTGCACATTTCCAATGAAGGCAGACAGAGTTGCTAGCAGATCTAGAATCCCCACAAAAATCCACGTAAACATCTATCAAAGTATTATTAAGTGCCGAGGAGGTATTTCGTTTTTGTCTGCAACTTTGCATCAATTATTATTAATCCTAAGCTAGTCTAACAATGAGTTGCAAATGTTGAATCATAAAGAATCCTACTCACATGGTTTAAAATTAGCTTGCACCAGTTAATGATTACCAAATACGTCCTGACTAGCGAATACAACATACAGAAAACCGTCTGGATCCTTTTCATTTTGATAGAGCTCAGCCATAGTCAGACTACCACTTACCATACTTTTTTGATTCACTAGTAGGAAAATAGCTTGCGTTGGATTCAGTTGCAGCCGACGTCTATGCAACACAAGATACATTAATTTATTTATATTTTACAAAATCTTGTGAAAAATACAATATATACAAAGAAATATACCTGATTATTTTGCAAAATTCCGCCACAGTTAGAAAATCTGGCACTAGAAATTTACTCTTGTCCAAAAGTGGCAGCTGATTTTCTAATTTGTAACGCTCCACAATAATGGGGATTTTAGTCGGATGCAGCTTTCTGATTTCCTCCGCACTAATAGATCGCTGCTCTGGATTAGCAAAAGAAAAAATTATTTACATATCAATACGTATTTTATCATTGTACGATTTTGAAGCATTTCTTAATCCATTCGACCGGAATAATTAATTACACTTGTAATCTGTGATTTAAAACCTCAAATCTTCGATTTTATTTGCATAAATAGACAACTTCTTGAATTTGATAGGTTCTAAATACAATTCTGTATAGTTACGTTTTAATATTGTGAAAAATTTTAATTAAATAGTGCATCTTGTTCACAGCAAAACGAACATTGTAAAAAGAGAGTATAATCATTATTCAGATAGCATGGAACATTTCAACAATATTATAGTAATGTTATAATGATCATACCCTCTTTTTAAATCCATACAGCACAATCATTCTAACAATATTACAGCAACACTGCAATTTCAGCAATATATTGTAATAACATTGCAAACATTACAGCAGTACTGTTGTAACCTTCTGTGCTGTATGGGACTATTATCTTACACAATTACGTCTTAACATGTGGAAAATTAAATGATGCATCTTGTCCACAAAACAAGCATTGAACAAATAAAAAAAATGCTGGAATGTTTCATGCTACCTAGATATCATGTTTCATGATATGCAATTATGACAAAAATAATTCAGTCATACGCCTTTATCAATTCTTGGAGGCTCCACTGATTTCAAAAGAGAAGATTTCAATTGCAGCTTCAAGAAATAATTGGTGCCTCCCATTTGGTGATACAAGTCAACACAAACATCCTTACATCTTTCTTGAGAAACAAAGGCAGAATGATACTTACGAAAAGCTCACTAATTGTAAATGGAAAACACCCATTCTTCACCGGTTCGTCTTAATTAACTACTCAACACTTACCGAAAGACTGTACAGTATGCGCCAAAAAAAAAATGTGATTCTTACAACTAACACTTCAGTTATCGAGTTAATTAAATAAAGTGACTAGACGGAGGCAAATTTGATATAACACAAATATTTTGTCCTTCTACCAAATATTTATTCGATATGATTTCCTTTAATGGCGATCACTGCGTTACTGTGTCACACTCAGCAAACATAATAGTGATTAAAAGAGTCGTATTTTTTTTTTTGGTGCATATTGTATTCATTTATGATATGGTATCCACTCAGAATTCATTCTCTACGTTAAAATAACGTTAAGCCATAATCTGGGAAATTGTAAATCTAACTAAAAATAATATCCGAGATAAAGAAAATGCAAACCAAGGAACGTTCTCTCGTCGAATCGTATCAGTTGCGCGAGAAAAAAAAATTCCATTTCCACACGAAATACACACACACAGTAACCACTCCAGTTTTAACGCCTTTCGCCCTCGTGCTCTTCTCACCCTTTGTTTTCTCACCCGCTTTGTTTCTTCTTCGCGCTATCTATCACACTTGTCGATATTTGCTCGCGACGTAAATGAACGCTCCTCGCGATCGGTTTGGCCATTGCACGATAAATTGCAGATGAAAAATTATAATAACAAAATTATAATAAAAAGTAACGAAGGGCGCGTCTTCGATCGTTCGAAAAGGTTTCCTAGAATGGTTCAGATCCTTTTCTCGGATCAGATCTATCATCGGAGCATCTATCATGGAACAAGTCGGAATGGATTTCGATCGGAATTATTTAATTATTATCCAAATTTCTATTGTCTTTTCTAGAGAAAACGGAATAATTGCGAATCCATTCCGATTTGCTCCATGATAGGATTTCTTGAATGAAAGGACGCGATCTCTCTTTTCGCCCTTTGTTTTCCCTATGGAGATGCACCCTTCCACAGAGAGCGAGAGACAGCCCTACGCTCGGAGATATCATTTCAGAACCGATTTAACGAGCGACTTACCGAACGAGCGTTTTTCCTTGTACGATCTCCTGGGCGTCAAATTCATGTTCGTGACGTTGTAACGTGCTATCACCTACTGCGAATACTGCGACGTACGCGACGCGCTATCAGCTGTGCTATGGTGGACTCGGTCTCGGGTCAAAATAACGCTAGCGTGCACAGAGACGCCGTACGAGACTCGTCAGGTTGAGTTAGTCGGACGTGACGTAATATGCGCAACGTGCTCAGCCGCGTATGCATTTGCGGCGCAGTGAGGGAGACTTCCATCGAATATTCGATTAATTTAATCGGCGAGTTAGTCTGCTGAGTCAGTAATGTCTGCAGTATTCTTGTTAACGTGGATAGAATCATTAATCTCTTGTCGTTCGACGCGCGGAAAGAAATGACGGATCAGGGACGGAACATATTTTGCAATCGTGAGTATTCGACCGCGAATTAATCGCCAATTAAATTAATCATAATTCAGTTGAAGTTACTTTGATTACAATAGCTTTAATAATGATGAAAAACGGCTTATTATACTTATATGATGAAAATATATAATAAAAATCTCGAATTATTTCGAATATTTTGTTACATTAAACAATTTTTTTTAATCCTATATATTTTTAAATTACTTTTTTTTCTTTTTATAATATTTTACGTTATTATTTCTCTCAATTCACTCGATTGATATTTTATTATATAAATAATAATTTTATTTTTTAGAGTTCTAAACATTTTGTATTTATATTTAAACTTTTAAGGAAAAACTTTTTCGATGTTCAAAATTTTTTCAAGAGTTTCACGAAATTTCACTAAAAATTTCCGGTTTCGAATAATGACGAAATAATTTCGTATCTTAAAAACTTTAAAAAGATATACGTATTTCACTCATGAATTTTAAAATCAATTTCCTTGAAAAAGAACTTTCTTAACATCGTGAGAAATTTTCTTATTGATTATATATATAATTTCTGCAATTTTTTTAACTCGCAATCATCTTATCCATTTTACTTATAATTTCGAAAATAATTTATAAAAGATGATCAATAATATATTTCTGTAACGTAAATTTTCTATATAATGATTATAATGCGACATTAACAAATAAAAGATCTTAATCTGATCCTATCATGTCCTGTCCTAACATTAATCTTAATTCAATTTAATCTTTACTTTTATCTAATTATAAGAATTCTAAGAATTAGAAAACAGAGTATAAGTCAAACTAAGATTAAAGTTAATTTTACATTGCAGGTAGATCGAACCGGGCCTAAGAATGAGAAAAAGATAAATAGTAGGTTAAATTGAGATTATAGTTAATCTTACATTGAAGGAATCGAGCCTAATGATTCAAACCGTTAACTAATTAATATTGACGATTGACTTAAGTAATATCTGTATTATTTAATTAATATAGATAAGATTGTTAAATTATTATATCGTTTGACACGCAGAAAGAAACTTAAGATTAAGGTTAACAAATGTATAATTAATTATTTAAACCCTTTATATATATTTTGTCGTCAGCAATTCTATCGATTGAATTAGTCGCCAATCAATTTAATTAGTAATATATATGTATATCTTATCAAGTAATATACCTGTTATTTTGATAACATCAATAAAATTATATAAATTTATAAAAGTTTAAAATTATATATTAAGAATTATTATAATTAATATATAATATTATTGTAATCATTATATTTTATTGTTGAATATTGCACACAATGAAAAAAAATGTAATTAAAAATGACTTTTGTAGCTAAAAATTATATATAATTATATAAAATTATACATAATTATACATAAAATGTCCATTTATATATAAATATATAAAATTATATATAATTTTCTATAATTTTCTATAATTATATATAAAACATTTTTCCTCGGGTCATCAAAATTCGTAGAAGGAAATCGTGGAAGAAAGAAATTTAAAGGCGCCTAAAGTACTCGCGTATAAGCACGAGTATGGTGAAACAATCACCTGATCGGTTGCGCAGATTTCCGAATGCGCACATGCACCTAAGAATCATATGGCCAGCACATGAGCACATTTCCGACGATATATATATATATATATACACGTTTTCTTCACGTCCTTGCTCATCATCCCTTCCTTCTCCCTTTCGAATATGAATTTACATCTATCGCGGTCTCACAAATACATGAAAGAATTTAAGAAATGTGTGAAGCAATAACTTCTTTGATCGAACTTGGATGCAATTTTAACGAAAGCATATATTATATTTGATTGATTTGAATAACGATTCGAATGCGAATTAAAATTCACACCTGAAACGGTTATATTGATATTTTTATTAGAAAAATATTTGCTGAATTTTTTCTTAAAGAATTAAGCACATTAAATATTCGTTTAATTACGTTTGAAGCAAATATATGTAGGTATATTTAAAGTGACATAATGTTTAAGATTCACTTTGCACGATATATCTTTTCAGATCTGCTTTTTAACTGAACTTTTCTTGCGCGATTTATTTTTCTCTTTTTCTTTTCACGTTGGAGAGAAAAAGGAAGGATAAACTGTGCTGATGAAATTCAGCTAAAAAGAACAGAACTATAATTCACATCGGATTTCTAGCCCAGAATCCGAGAAGAGAATCTGATTTCATCATTTCCACTTATATAATTATTTATATTGTCTATTTTTAACAAGTACATTTTTAACGTGTATTTTAATTTGTATTTCATATCTGCGATTAGCCTTATACTTTATTATTTTACACGCTGTATAAAATTATAAATACAGCGACAAAAAGAATTGTTTGACTGAATTAATTTAGTTCGTCTTTATTTCTTTTGAAAAATATATTCAAACATTATATTTGACTTAAATACATACGTTTTCCAACGAAAGAGAAATAAAAACGAACTAAGTTAATTTAGTCAAATGAACAGTTTCTTTTCGGTGTAGGGCATCCTAAATCTGGTAGGAATTTCAAATCATTCGTAACTCATTCCAATGTAGATTAACTTTAATCTCGGTTTAATTTAATTTACTCTTTACCTTTTTCTAATTTTTAGAATCAGAAGAAGAAAAAAAGTAAATTAAGCATCAAAGCAAGTTCGATTAACTAAATTGGTGAATTAAGGACTATTTCTATCAATGTGAATGAACTTTAATCCTAGTTTAATTTATTCTTCATTTTTCCTAATTCTTAGAACTAGAGAAAGATAGAAAGCAAATTAAACCGAGATTAAAGTTAATCTACAGTGATAGAAATGAACATGAGGCGGAGTTTAAATGTAAACATTCAAATCGTAAGAACCCTGATAAAAAAAGTACTGTGATGACAGAGTTCGCAGACAATTTTCTTTTATTTATTACTATGTAAAGAAGTATATAAGAAACCATATATAGAAATACATTACGTATAACTGAATACTTTTCTTTCGGAAATTTAATACTGAGCAATTTAATATTGAAAATTACTTATTCTGAGTTTTAAAAGCGCTGGATAACAATACCTTTAATATACAAAAAATAAGTAATTAATTACTACTTTGCGATAAATTTATGTAAAAAAGTTATGTATTAGTTGATAAAGTTTTATATATATATATATATACATTGAAACTTAATACACACTCCATATACCTATTATTTATGAAGTTTTTTTTCGGTAATAAATATTTCCGTACACTTAAAAAATGTATTACATTTTAATAAATATTTAAATATTGAATGTTTTCAAACAGTATTATCAGTAAAGAATGGATTCGGATTTTCAGAAATACACATTCACAAACATTGAAACGAATCCTTTTCAATCCCAATACATTTTTATTCATTTATAAGAATTGCATGAAGCACATTTCATGCCTTTCAATCCGAAAAAAAAATTCATTTCTTTAAGTGTATCGTGTATCGAATGCGCTATTCAATTCAAAATTTTGAATAGGAAATGCAATTTTTCAATCCAGTAAAATATTGAAAAAAAGTAAAAATGGACCATGAATGCTACTAAAATACGAATGGTTTCAAATGAATCACAAAATTTCAATCCATTTTAATTCATTTTCCTTTATACGGGTAGTCAAATATTTACTAAATGTAAACATATATTCATCTATTACGAGACCATTAATTCGATCTAACAATCATACGCTTTTATTGAGCAACTATTTATTTACTAATAAATATCAAGTACTGTTGAAAAAAGTACGTATGTATTAAAATGTAGTAAATTTTATCTCAGTGTGTAACGCTGTTACTATAATAATCGGTGACGCAGAGCGGACGGAGTCTCGCCCCGGCAAGTGCCGCTCCCTCGCGGATGGACGGCGCTTCCTGACCTCGGCGACAGCGGGCAAATCTGCCCGTATCGTCTCCGGCGAAGTCAACGGAACGCCGTCATGGAGCACGAAAGTGCGCACGCAGGGATTCGCCTCACCGTCGACGAGATGCTTCCGTGACGTCGCGGCGAGCCGGTCGACGGTGTCGCCGTAAACCCGTCGTCGTCGTTCCCCCCCGTCGGGAATTCACCTCGGAAGGAATCCGCGAGCCGTCGCCTCGGTATAAACCGACAGTACGGTCGGAGTATCATACGAGTCGCGCGACGGCCGCTCGCTCGTAGGACCGTCTATGTGAAGCGACACGCTCCGCGGCGTGTTGTCGAGCGGTGGACGTGCGGGACGAACGGTGTAGCGTGTACCGCGCGCGAAAGAGAGAGAGAAAGAGGTAGGGGAGGGAGAGAAAAAAGAGAGGAGAGACGTTTTTCCGACCGGCACGCGCGCATCCAGGACGGGCTCGAGCCTCGGATTCGAGCGGCTGAGTGAAAACGGAACGGAATCCGCGGGAGAGACTCGTAATCGGTTCGGCGCCGAGAGCGCGTCGCGTGTCGATTCGCGCCGAGGGTCCGTCGAAAAGTCGGAGTGACAGAAAGAGAGAGGATAGAAAGTGAGTGAGAGAGAGAGAGAGAGAGAGAGAAAGAAAGTGAGCCTCGGCTGGGAAGGGGGACGTCCCCCCCTCTGTCCCCCGCTCGCGAACACCTGTGCGTGCGGTGTGCGGTGCGGAGTGCGGACAGTTGCGTCCCGACATCGCTGCCCGTCTCGCGTATATATGCACCCGCGTCGTAAACCGGAGGAGCTGGAGCGCCATGGGGGAGTCGCCGGAAGCAGCGACGGCGACGTACGCGTCGCGCTGCCGCGCGTCACCGTAAAGATCCGTCCACGCCGTGTGATCTCTCCCCGTTACCTCGCCCCCCGGCCCGTTCCGTTGGGGCATTAACACGGGGGGGGAGGGGGACCGTCGCGCGTTTTCGGCCGCGAGTGAGTGTACGTGCGTGAGATTTCCGTGCCGGATATCAACCCCGCGGTTGGTCGTCGGTGGTGCGACGGCGATCATCGTCGCGGTCTCTCTGCGGGATCGAGCGCTCGAGGGGGTTAGAGGAAAAAGAAAAAAAAAACAAGAGGAGTGGACGTTTGGCGGCGGGGCGAGAGAGCGACGGACGAAAAAGGGCGACGGAGGATCGAGCGAGACGGACGGTCGACTAGTCGGAGGGTGGAGGAGGAAGGGAGCCGCGCGGTGTGACGAGAGAGCGAGAAGAAGCGGCAGCGACGAGACAGCCAGTCAGTGCGCCAGAAGCGACGAATTCGACCGGCGCTCCCTTTGTCCGCGCTTCGTCCGAGAGGAAGAGAGAGATTCACGAGGGAGAAGGAGAGAGAGAGAGAGATTCACAGCGGATCATCACGGCAGCATCGTCGTCCCGGCTGATCCAACGACGCGATCGGATTGATGCCGACGAGTCGACGGCGACGACGTACCACGGAACCGTCGAAACGCCCGGGTCGATTTTTATACGCGCCGTCAACACGACGAGGACTCGTCCCGGTCGCGTCGGACCGCGACGTCTCTAATCGACCGACGACGCGCATGGTGTTATGTCGTCACCGACGGTGGCCCGCGTGACTCGTCGTGCCCGGTAGCGAAAAGCGCGCGAGTTCTCCGACGGGAAGAAGAAGAGGAGAGAGAACCTCAGAATGTGAAAAACGTACGAGAAAGTGTTCGGAAAAGGGAAAGATTTAACGGAACGAGGAAGAGCGATCCACCCGGTCACATTAGGATATTCGTTATAGTAAAGAGAAAAACAAAAATAACAAACAAGAAGGTAGAAAAGAAAGGATCTTATTGTAGACAATCACACCGGCTTTCGCGTCGCGAGTGCGAGTGCGAGCGCGAGGGTGTTCGGTGGGAGATTTGAGTGATCGCGCGGAGTGTCTGTGTTTACGTGGGTAGTCGAGAGGCAGAGGATTATCCTCTTGAAGGATACGATATATCGCGGATACGTGTTTCGTCGAACGAGAGAGCGAGAAAGAGAAGATAGCAAGAAGGAGAGAGGGGGGCGGTTCTTTGTATGGCCATCGGGAGGCGGGAATCGCGTCTCGTCGCGAGGTGGAATCGATCGGCGGCGAGAATCGGCGGAGAATCGGGACCGGGTGAAGGGGCCCGCCGGGGGGAGTATTTTCGTCCGCCGACGGGTGAAAGAATGGATCAGCAACGGCAG